TATATATGTATATATATATATATATATATATATATATATATATATATATATATATATATATATATATATATATATATATACACACACACACACACAGTTTACCAATACTAAATACTACTATTATTTATATTATACATTATTTATTGAATAATAATATTTAGTAAACAACAATAGCCATCATAAAAGTTGCTAAGCAATTCAGTCAAAAGTACAAAGGCAGCGCTCAGATATACAGCATTGAAGTTGCAGAAACATTATGAGATTTTGCCAAAACTATTTGCTCTGGAACAAATAATAGATTAATGAGACCAAAGACTGCCCGTTAAATTGACCCAAAACGAAATATATCTCGTGTAAACACTATAGAGACACCAGAGCCAGCGGTAAATTCCAGAAGATCTGGCCGAGGTGAGGCGCTCTCTCTGCGGGTTTATGAGTGCAGAACGGCCACTGCCGTCCTGGAGCTTACGTCTCCGAAAACGGCGAAGTAAATTTTCAAATAGACGTTATCTTTGTGTGAGAAAATACGGCAACTTCGGCAATGGGAATGCTACAAACCCCCACCCACAAGCTGCTGTTTCTGTCACTTTTTCTCTTGACAAGAAGTGCATTTATTCAGTCGCAGAACATCTTTATGATCACATCACACATGAGACATTTCAGATGCGCCTCCACTTCACCTCTGCGCCAGGCGCGAGTCAAACGAGCATGGAAACGGTCCTGTGCTCATAGCGCGTGCTGTAGCCTGTATCATTTCATATCAAAGCGCGAATGAAACTACGTGCATGCAATGTCGTGGTCAGTTAAGTCATGAAGTTACCAAAAAGGTGATTAAAGCTGCATTAAAGCTGTGCATGCATGTAATATATTATATACGAGTCACATTTAAGAACATGTCTCTGAAATGGTTTTCAAAACTGTCCTGGAGCCCAGCACTGTCTCACTCATCTAACACACCCGATTCAACTCGTCAGCTCATTAATAGAAACTTTAAGACCTGAAGTGGGTCAGAAAAGGTGAAGAGAGTTGAGAGAATATACGGCGTTCAGCAGCGGCAGCTCTTAAAGTAATAGCAGCCAAAATAACCTAATAACTAGCTGCTGTGATGACTGTTAATCAAAGAAAAAAGACAAAATCAGTAACTTTTATCGCTTTAAGGATTCATCTATATTTAATTTAGAATTTAGTGTATGATAACTTAAATGTCAATTTCTGTATATTTCTGCTGAAGGGCACAGGTAAATATGACATTTATTATAATGGGTTTATATGAAGATTGTTTAAGGTTTTCTTAAATTTGAATAATTTAAGTCTAATAAATAACAAAATGTATATATCTCAATTATACTGTAATGTTGAATGGCTATAGTCAATGGTTAAATATTAGAGGAAAAACTAATTTTATAGAGACATCAGTAGTAGCCTATAGAGGTCTGCACAGGCTTTAAACTGAAGCCCGAACCCGACCCGTACCCGAGATCGTCTGACCCAGCCCGACCCGACCCAAGTTCAATTTAGTTCAAAACAGTTCAATTTAGAGCCCGAACCCGAAATCTTTTTTTTTTTTGTATTTCACGATTGCATGCAACGGTCAGTAAACAAATACATGTAAAGAAACAGAATCATTAAGGCTCGGCCAGTTCACAAGGCAAAATAAAAAACACTTACCAGTTATGAAAGTTTATGAACATCAGGTGCCTCGGTCACATAAATTCTGCTGAGTTTTTGAATGGTTGTATACGACAAGACGATAATTCTTCCATCGTGCAAATTATGGTAATTTTCGTCAGTTAAGTACGGTGGCCGAGAGAGGTCACCGTACTTAAATCAGACACAGAGATGCAGTGCGGTAAGATCGCATTTATTTGAATTAATTAATTATATCATTTATTTGAATTAGCGAGAGAGAGAGAGAAAGAGAGAGGGATGAAAGTTGCGTGTGTGAACCTGCGTCTGCGCGCCTCTCTCTACAAGCAATGAGGCTTAGTTCCTTCAAAAACAGCGATTTTACCCCCTCATTGCAGAGAAATATAAAGTTGCGAGTCAGTAGCCTGTCGAAGCTATTTTACTAATAAAAGTTTCTGTGCTGTGCTGTCGTGTGCACTAATGTGTGTGCGTGCGTCTATGAAAGCAGCGTAGCCTAGGCTACTGCATATAGTTTTAGTTTAGCTATAAACCCGAGCCCGACCCGAAGCTATTCACTAAACATTAACCCGAACCCGACCCGAAACCCGAAAGTATTTAGGGACCCGTCGGGCTCGGGTCGGGTAGCAGACCTCTAGTAGCCTATTGGTATCAGTGATACTGGCCTTCAGTCATAAAAAACATGCCATTAAACTATTATTAAAAATGTACTGTCTTTAGGTTGTTTGTACATTAATTTGAAGATTGAATGTAAAATTATTGCAATATAAAAGTATATTTAAAAACATTAATTTTAGGTGGGATTAATCGCAATTAATTTCAGAAAAAAATGTGTGATTAATTTGTATTATATATACATATACACATACATATACATATATATTCACATTAAGATCATTCACTCTGAAATACACCACATTAAGCAACATAGGTTGTGAACAACAATACATGCTTAATTTATAATGTTTTTCTCATTATAGCCATGAGAAATGAGCAAAAGAGGGTTAAATGTGATGAAAATGGTCATAATGCAAAACAAAGCTTCATTATCTTCGTGTGATTTTAAGATAATAAAAAAAAACAGTCAGACATGTTCTGGAAAGATTCACCTCGTGAGATTCAGACCATTATCACGTTTTACTATAAAAGCAAAATAAAGCTCGCTCATTAACCCCCGAAAAACTAAAAGCAAGAACTCAAAGCAGCTCCACGTATACATCCACACCAAATCACCAGAGCGAAACGGAGCGTGCGGAAAGCGCCGATGGCTTTTCAACTTTAAAAAGGCGAAAAGAAAAGAGCCTTATCACCATAACAAGGCCTTATCAGACAACAAACCTCTCTTCCCGTGACTTTCATCTTGCGCACTTGTTCCACTGATCTTATGAATAAATCATAAAGGCCGTACCCCCTTCGGCTCGCAGCAGTGCATGCCCTGTAAAACACAGAGAAGTGTTTATGGGAGATAAGAGCCACAGAGGTTGCATTCCCAATAACGCCTTTTATCAC